AGGAAAATGGGACCAACAAAGTTTAAAAGCTGCGGTAAATAAGGTTTTGCCCAAAGAATTGAGTTTAAGAGAAGCAGCGTTGCGGTACAACATTCCAAAAAGTACTCTACATAATAAGACGTCGTTATTGAATCGGGGACACGAAGTGACATTGCAACCAAAGATGGGTGGATTCACTAACACCTTCTTATACGAGTACGAACAAAGTTTAGTAAAAGATTTGTCCAATAGATGTCTGCCGCTGGTGAAAAAGAAATTTCTGAAGTTAGCTTTCGATTTGGCTGAAGCTTTGAAGATTTCTCGTCGTTTCAATAAGGAGAAAGATGTTGCCGGGAAACACTTTTACTACGATTTCATGCAAATATATCGCTAAGAACACCTGAGTCGCCGAGCATGATGCGAGCAGTAGGGTTTAACAAACCACAAGTAGATTTTTTTTATGATAACTTCGAAAAACTGAGTGAGCTGCGTGCATAAACATCAAAAAGTTCTTGCTCCGAAAGCTGTACGTCAAGTAGGAAACTTTACTTCTGCTGAAAGGGACAAAAATATAAGAGTTTTGTTTTGCATGAGTGTTAACGGCCACTTCATACCGCCATTTTTTGTATGTCCTAGACACAGGATGAATGATCGGCTCATGATTAATGCTCCAGCCAAAAGGCTGGATGAATAGTGATCTTTTCCTACAATGGTTGCAGTTATTCGCGAAACTTTCACACACAGCAAAAAGTGGAAAAGTAAAGAAGAAACCGTTAACTCAAGTATCTAACATTGGAAGAACTATTTGCGTAGTGTGCTTAAAGGACCATACCGAAGAGTGGATACAGTGGTCTAGCTGTAGAGGGTGGGCTCATGAAGAATGTGTGTCATAGCATATACAGTGTGTCCCCGGATTGTGTCCCCATAAGGTATAATTGACGATAAATTTTTGAATTCAAATTCCATCTTTTGCAATTAAAGTCTGGATGCCATAAAACGAAATATAACCAAATTTTACGTCAAATATCCTCAAAGTACCAAAGTTAACGCAAGAAGTTTGTTAACCGTTGCAGGTAAAGTGGTGTTTCTGAGCAATGTACAACAAAAGTTGATTAAGATAAAATGTTTGTTATGTTAAATTACAGCGATATACCGAATTTTATTAATTTAGCATATAAAAGAAAAAATGAGTTGTTTCTTGAAAATTTTTTTCTAATATTCCGTTTTACAATAAAAACAAATGTCCTGAGTAAACTAACAATTATCATTTGATAGCTTAGCTTTAGCCTATTGTCAAATATTAATTGATCATGATTACATTACAACATAAAATATTTATAGTGAAGTGCTATGGATTGTGGAACATTTGTTACAATGCAGTTTTATGGCAATTTGAGAAAATATTTGGTATTTTAGTGGATAAAAAAACAGTTAAGAGAGTTGTTTTCGGAAACGGGCAATGTGGAAAATAAAAGGAAGGAAAAAAAGCTTTTAGATGAATATGATGCGGGGTCGATTGTTGCAGTAACGAACACAATGGATGCAAAGGGCAGTTCAAGTCGGTATAACTAAATCCCATTTACAAAGAATTTAAAATTTAGTTTAAAACAAAAAATTGAAACTGTTATTAGAGAAATTCCGTTGGACCATATTAGAAAAAGTTATAAACAATGTCGGAAAAGGGCTGAATTATGTGTTAGTGTTGGTGGTGATATCATTGAATAAGCTTTTATGTTAATTTAGTTTAGATCGAAAATTAAATCTTATGATTTAAAAATCTGCACATTTTGCTTTTATATCCTAAATTAATAAAATTCGGCATATCGCTATAATTTAAGGTAGCAAACATTTTATCTTAATCAACTTTAATCAACTTTTGTTGTACATTGCTCAGAAAGACCACTTTACCTGTAACGGTTAACAAACTTCTTGCGTTAACTTTGGTACGTTGAGGACATTTGACGTAAAACTTGGTTATATTTCGTTTTATGACATCCAGACATTAATTGCAAAAAATGGAATTTGAATTCAAAAATTTATCGTCAATTATACCTTACGGGGACACAATCCGGGGACACACAGGTATATGCGATAGATGCAGGATGTACTAGGTACTAAACGCCGCTTGCAGTGATTGCAGTTTTTGTTACCAAAGTTTAACATATGATTCATGATGCATTTTTGTTCATTTATTTCGATTTTAAACTTTCTTTACGTAGTTAATTCATAGATAAACTTACATTTGTTGAAGTAGTTTTTATTTTATTTTCTGAAAAGCTTAGGTGTCCGCCGCTAAGGGATTCCCCCTAATTTTTTGGAACGATACGGTGATGATTGTATTCATCAATACAAGAGAAAATAATACAAATTAATGGTTTACACCCATACAGGGCTTGTCACGACGAGCTGGGTCTATATGTACAGGCTGTCCCGTTAAGCGTACGGACCGGCTGTATCTCTAGAACGTTAAGATCCTTATAAGCAAAGTGACCAAGAAAAATAGCTGGAAATTATTTTGAAGTTCGTAATTCGACCGCTAGGAGGCATAACTGCCATTGAGATACATAAAGTTCCCGCTATCTCAGAAACTTAGACGATGAGCTATAACTTTGACAACATCATTTAATAGCTTGGATAATACCGCATCGCTTTTGTTTTGCGATATTTCTCATATCTGTCATAATAAGGGAGGGGGAGGCCAATGCGTTTTCATATGTTTACATTTTAATATCTCCTAGACCATTCAACCGATTTGAATGTTTTCGGTGTTGTTTGAAAGAGCATTTTATGCTCTTTTTAAAGATATTTTCAGTAAGACCGTCTGCTTTAAAACAAATGAGCTAGAGGACGTTATCTGCAGCGATTACATATTTTTGTGATTTTTGAAGAAAAGTTAAATGGAACGATACTATTTACTTCACAGACCCTTAGTCACCTTAAAATTTGCTAAATTTTAGTGAAAACCGCATCTCGATATCGCCACCCGTTCTCGAGTTATAGAAGAAAATGTTAAAAACTCGAGTGCCATCAATCGGATCCAGTTACCTCATCGAGAAAAACAAATCACATAACCATGGTAACTGTAAACATGTCATTTACTAACGCAGAAGCGTATGATAGAGCGTATGATGATTTATTTTCAATGTTTCGAATACGATGCAACTGCATGGCAAAAATGTGCAATGCAATTACGACAAAGAAAGACATTTTTCTCTAGAAGTGTTTTTAAGATTGACTTAGCGATTACGGAAAACTGGCAACGTGTAGCCCATTCAGACATCTCTATGAATTCGTAAATCACATTGGTGCGCAATGTGATCCCACATAATCTGGGAACTCCGAAAACAATTGTCCACAAGAGTTCTCAAGAGAATAATATCTCCACCACGTTGTTTTACATCAGGCCTTAACAGATACCGATTATGATAACAGACTGAACTATTACCATTGACTTTTAAATATGATTTGGGCAAATCCAAACCTTTTATCACAAATGCTATGGATGCATGAAGCATCTGTCCACAAGCTGATGTAAACTTGCATAATATGCATTCTTGGTTCGAGCAAAACCCACATTGCTTTCACCCCTTTATCTATTGGGTAGACTAAACGACCTGACTTTTCAAGAAAAACCAATAACCAGGGAAAATATGACAAAACACTAAATACCAGTAAAAACGTGTCCAGGGACGAGACTTAGCAGCGCTTTTTTTTCGTCGAAACTAGATTAAATAAATGCATCGAGGTTTATGTAAGGCATTTCGCACATTAGTGAGCTATTTTTGCCAAAAATTTAAGTTATTCTAAGTGTTTTGGTTTATTTTGTTTTATTATCATTGTTGATGTTTCATTGATCCGTTGGCTTTTCAACACGCCTCAAAAGTAGTTTTGAAGCAGTTCTAAGCTTGGATAAAGTGTGAAGGAAGGTTCTAGATAATAAAATTTTTGTTCTCTCTTATTTGTTTCCTAAGGTAACTTGATCCGATTAAGATATACGAATTTTTAACATTTTCTTTTATAATTCGAGAATGGATGGAGATATCGAGATGCGGTTTTCACTAATATTTAGCAAATTTTATGGTGATTAACGGTCTGTGAAGTAAATAGTACCGTTCCATTTAACTTTTTTTCAAAAATCACAAAAATATGTAACCGCTGCAGATAACGCCCTCTAGCTTATTTGTTTTAAACCAAGCGGTCTTACTGAAAATATCTTTTAAAAGAGCATGAAATGCTCTTTCAAACAAGACCAAAAATATTCAAATCGGTTGAATGGTCCAGGAGATATTAAAATGTAAACATTTGAAAACGCATTGGCCTCCCCCTCCCTTATTATGACAGATACGCCCCCTAGCGGTCGAATTACGAACTTCAAAATAATTTCCAGGTATTTCTCTTGCCCACTTTGCTTATAAGGATTTTATTCCCAAACCTCTAGGCCTTACCGTTGTTGAGATACAGCCACTCCGTACGCTTAACGGGACACCTGTATATGGCAAACTACTGGCACTATTTTTGTGAAAACTTGCATACAAGGTTTACTCAAAGTGCTCGTTTCAGCTAAAATATTTTCAGGTTTTTCCAACTTTCGGTTATACTGGAAATTGACCCCAACTTTGTTATTTTAAATGGAATGTACCAATTTTTATTGAATTTTCGAGATCCCCGCTAAATTTTAAAATAATTTGATATAAATCATCATATGTCTAGAGTGCATCATTTTTGAATTGTTGCAGTTTTTTCGAAAATTTTGACAGATGTAACCTTTCACAATAAAAGTAATTTTTCGAAATTACACTTGAGTCCGGTCAAATATTCTCATAGCTTACATAACCATTGAAAAGTTTTAAAAAAGATTATACAGGCTGGTCAGAAATTTGCGCTATATTTATTTAGCCGCGTTTATATTGGCGAGCGATTAGCGATGAGCGTTGAGCGGTGAGCGATGAACGTTGAGCGTTATAACGATGAAGTGTGTATATTAAGCAAAGTCGTAGCACAGCTTATTTAGTATCAGTACCGTGGTAAACATGCTACCGAAGTCAGTGCGTTTGCTGTGGTTATTAGAAAATCCCATTTTATTTAGAAAGATTATATTAAGGAAGCGGAAGAAAAGAATTGGAGTGCATTACCTAAACAGAACTCGTTTGACAAACGGTGAATTTCACCAACTGTACTATGATCTACGAAGAGATCCGTCTAAATTTTTCGAATTTTTACGCATGTCTATTGACACTTTCGATTATATTTTGATACGAATTAAGGACAGGCTTCGGAAGAAAGTAACTAATTTTAAGAGACCCATATCTCCAGTAGAAAGGCTTTATTTAACATTAAGGTAGGTACACAAAAATAGTGACAAGTACACTAATATTTATTGCATAAAATTAGATGTATAGAGTAATTCTGCAGACCCAGAATCTTCTATTGTTATATTTTCACGGGTCAAGCCGAAACATGCTATAATTTTCGTCACATTGACTAATTGGTTGATATTGAATACCTTTTCCCACTGTTAAATTTTCGCCAGAGTTTGTATGTAATCTAGGCTGGGATCGTACTTGATCGAAGTTTTCATTTCCGTAAAGTTGAAGATTTGTGTAATTTTCTTGACGTTGAACAGACTGCATAGTGTTTTGTTTGCGTCGCACGGCCTCGGTGATAACTTCTTGTATTTTTGCTCGCACTTCCAATTTTTCTAAACAGTCCATGTCCGTAAAATAGGGCAGCAGACTCATTAAAAAATGATAATCGGGGTTACCTGTCATATCAACATCTTTCTTAAATTCCTGCTCTAATAAATCTAGTTTCTTTTGCTCTAATTCCAAGTAATGTCTGTCGATTTCGTTTTGTGCAGGTCTTTTCTTATTACGACATGTTGGTGTTGCGAATGTCTTTCTTTGCGTTGTACAAGATGAAGGACGTGAAGAGCTAGTTGATGGTGATGAAGGTTCATGTTGTATGGTATCTGACTCTTCATTATTAACGTTTTCTGCAGTTTGTTCTTCATCCTCACTATCGGTGTTCTCGGGTTCCTTCGAGAGGTTGCCAGTTGTTGTACTTGGAAGCATGCTATCTTTTACAAATAGCATCATATCAAAAAATGGCCATTTTGACTTATAATTGTCATTTTCTGAGCCGGAGCGTTTTTTCGGAATTTTATGCAGTTCAACCCGAAACTTATCTTTTAAATTTTTCCACTTCCCCTTCGCAGCTTGTCCTGGAAAGAATTTGTATTTAATTAGTTGTTATGATATTTCAGGTTCTTGTCTACAGGACTCTCATTCCGAAATTTAGCAACAACTCTGAGAATGGGAGTTTGTACCGTTAGCAAAATTGTTCATGAAACATGTGAAATAATATGGAATGAATTTGTTGACGAATTCATGCCAGTTCCTAGTCAAGAGCAATTACAAACTGTAGCAGAAGGATACTACAGACGTTGGAAGTTTCCAAATTGCGTAGGGTCAATTGACGGCAAGCACTGCCAAATAAAATGCCCACCAGGAAGTGGTTCTCGCTATTTTAATTATCTGAAGTATTTCTCTGTGGTCTTACAAGCAGTAGCTGATGCTGACAAAAAATTTATCACAATCGAGGTTGGCGCCAGAGGAAAGCAAAGTGATGGCGGAATATTTTCATCTTCGCAACTCTTTAATCTACTTGAAAATAAGGTATTTAATATGCCGCCAGACAGAGAACTATTTGGTACAAACATTAAAGTACCTCATGTTTTAATTGGTGACGAGGCATATCCGTTGAAGACTTATTTGATGAGACCATATCCTTCCAGAAATCTCGATCCCGTCAAAGAAAACTTCAATAATCGCTTGTCAATAGCTAGAAAATGCATTGAATGTGCTTTTGGCATACTACGTGCTAAATGGCGTATCTTGGGCAAGGATATCGAAGTTAGCCCAGAAAAAGCGGCAAATATAGTAAAATGTACGTGTATTTTACATAATATTGTGAGACATCGAGATGGCAATAGTGACTTACATTACTGTCAAGAGGTGGTACATTATTTTCCAGAAAATCAGCGTGAAACAGAATGGTTGCCACCTCCTCAAGAAGGACACGGAGGAGCTCGTAGAAGTTCAGCACGAGCGAAACAGATACGAGAATCTTTTGCAAATTACTTTGTAGATTTTTGAACGACAAAAAAATATACGTGTATACTTGTACATTTAAGTGTTTTTTGACTAACCTGATAATCCAATACATGTGCCAACATCTCCCCATAACTTTCTTGTTATCTCCGTTTTTTTGTAATCTGGGTGTTGATCATTCCATAGTACCGGTTTTGTTTGCACTTCCGAAATTAATATTTCACGACAACTATTCGAAAATTTTGCTTTTGAACACATTTTTGCGAAAAACTTCAAAACAAATAGTCACATAACCTCAATACGTGCTGCGACCGCTTGTATCTATCGCTCATAATTCAAGTCGTCTTGAATGCAAATGTAACGCACATCCACCGCTTAGCGTTACCGCTCATCGCATTGGTTTAATATACACAGCACTGTTGCATTTGCAGGTACTTGAATTTTTAAATACAACGCTCATCGCTTACCGTTCAACGCTCATCGCTAATCGCTCGCCAATATAAACGCGGCCTAAGGGAACTTTGTCATTACATCCCTATATCTAAAATGTATGGTTTTCGTAGAAATTTGAAAAAAAGGGAAATTTTCTTGGTTATTGAAACAACCAAACCGAAGAAACAAAAACTATCGTATTAAATCAAATAATTTAACGTTTACGTAGCAAAAGTGTTAATCATGTTCCGTTTAGGATTTAGTAATTGTAGAACCTATGCCAGTTTGTTGGAAAGCACAAAAGGGTTAAACCAATCGTAGATAACGAAGGAAATGAAATTACAGTTTTGAGGTACTTCAGAGCATATCCTAAAAATTCGTTATTAGATGCTAAAACAGATTTGCGTATATCTGAGAAAAGCAATCACAGGATTTTAAAAACATAACTATCGTCCTTATTGTTACTTATTGGCACAAAGTTTAAGGCCAGGTGATGATCAAAGGAGAATTGATTTTTGTGAATTTATGTTGATTAAAACTCAAGAAAATGAAGTTTTTTTTGATCAAATAATTTATACTGATGAGCCCCCACATATTTCGTGAAAGACAATTTCAAGGATACTGGAGTTTTAAAGTTTTAGCTGCCATAACTGCACTTTTATAACGAAAATTCGAATGGTAAGCTTATTGAAAATTGTAGGGCTAATTTTGTTTCTGATTCTTGTTCATTACTTCGGGCGAAACATATCTGGAAATTTTACAAAATTATCTACAGCTGCCAGATCTAAACTGGAATCAACTGTGGTACCAACCCGGTGGAGCTCCACCTCATAGTAGTGCGCTTATACAGGGTGAGTCAGAAAGAATGGAAAATCCGAATACCGGAAATACTACACACCAAAATACAGGGTGTCCCGTTAAGCGTACGGAGCGGCTGTATCTAAACAACGGTAAGGCCTAGAGGTTTGGGAAAAAAATCATTATAAACAAAGTGGGCAAGAGAAATAGCTGGAAATTATTTTGAAGTTCGTAATTCGACCGCTAGGGGGCGTAACTGCCATAGAGAAACATAAAATTCCCGCTATCTCAAAAAGTTAGACGATGAGCTATAACTTTGACAACATCATTTAGTAGCTTGGATAATACCGCATCGCTTTTGTTTTGCGATATTTCTCATATCTGTCATAATAAGGGAGGGGGAGGCCAATGCGTTTTCAAATGTTTACATTTTAATATCTCCTGGACCATTCAACCGATTTGAATATTTTTGGTCTTGTTTGAAAGAGCATTTCATGCTCTTTTAAAAGATATTTTCAGTAAGACCGCTTGGTTTAAAACAAATAAGCTAGAGGGCGTTATCTGCAGCGGTTACATATTTTTGTGATTTTTGAAAAAAAGTTAAATGGAACGGTACTATTTACTTCACAGACCGTTAATCACCATAAAATTTGCTAAATATTAGTGAAAACCGCATCTCGATATCTCCATCCATTCTCGAATTATAAAAGAAAATGTTAAAAATTCGTATATCTTAATCGGATCAAGTTACCTTAGGAAACAAATAAGAGAGAACAAAAATTTTATTATCTAGAACCTTCCTTCACACTTTATCCAAGCTTAGAACTGCTTCAAAACTACTTTTGAGGCGTGTTGAAAAGCCAACGGATCAATGAAACATCAACAATGATAATAAAACAAAATAAACCAAAACACTTAGAATAACTTAAATTTTTGGCAAAAATAACTCACTAATGTGCGAAATGCCTTCCATAAACCTCGATGCATTTATTTAATCTAGTTTCGACGAAAAAAAAGCGCTGCTTAAGTCTCGGCCCTGGACACGTTTCTACTGGTATTTAGTGTTTTGTCATATTTTCCCTGGTTATTGGTTTTTCTTGAAAAGTCAGGTCGTTTAGTCTACCCAATAGATAAAGGGGTGAAAGCAATGTGGGTTTTGCTCGAACCAAGAATGCATATTATGCAAGTTTACATCAGCTTGTGGACAGATGCTTCATGCATCCATAGCATTTGTGATAAAAGGTTTGGATTTGCCCAAATCATATTTAAAAGTCAATGGTAATAGTTCAGTCTGTTATCATAATCGGTATCTGTTAAGGCCTGATGTAAAACAACGTGGTGGAGATATTATTCTCTTGAGAACTCTTGTGGACAATTGTTTTCGGAGTTCCCAGATTATGTGGGATCACATTGCGCACCAATATGATTTACGAATTCATAGAGATGTCTGAATGGGCTACACGTTGCCAGTTTTCCGTAATCGCTAAGTCAATCTTAAAAACACTTCTAGAGAAAAATGTCTTTCTTTGTCGTAATTGCATTGCACATTTTTGCCATGCAGTTGCATCGTATTCGAAACATTGAAAATAAATCATCATACGCTCTATCATACGCTTCTGCGTTAGTAAATGACATGTTTACAGTTACCATGGTAATGTGATTTGTTTTTCTCGATGAGGTAACTGGATCCGATTGATGGCACTCGAGTTTTTAACATTTTCTTCTATAACTCGAGAACGGGTGGCGATATCGAGATGCGGTTTTCACTAAAATTTAGCAAATTTTAAGGTGACTAAGGGTCTGTGAAGTAAATAGTATCGTTCCATTTAACTTTTCTTCAAAAATCACAAAAATATGTAATCGCTGCAGATAACGTCCTCTAGCTCATTTGTTTTAAAGCAGACGGTCTTACTGAAAATATCTTTAAAAAGAGCATAAAATGCTCTTTCAAACAACACCGAAAACATTCAAATCGGTTGAATGGTCTAGGAGATATTAAAATGTAAACATATGAAAACGCATTGGCCTCCCCCTCCCTTATTATGACAGATATGAGAAATATCGCAAAACAAAAGCGATGCGGTATTATCCAAGCTATTAAATGATGTTGTCAAAGTTATAGCTCATCGTCTAAGTTTCTGAGATAGCGGCAACTTTATGTTTCTCAATGGCAGTTACGCCCCCTAGCGGTCGAATTACGAACTTCAAAATAATTTCCAGCTATTTCTCTTGGTCACTTTGCTCATAAGGATTTTTTTCCCAAACCTCTAGGCCTTACCGTTCTAGAGATACAGCCGCTCCGTACGCTTAACGGGACAGCCTGTATAATGATTTAACCTAACATCTCTTATACGAATGCCAGTGGTTTTCGAGGCACAGGGTGTTGAATGTTAAATTCTTATATGTATAGCAATTTCTTGATAATTTTGAAGCTTTTTGTACTATTAACATAAAATTTGGTATAAATTCGGTTGTCGAGCTACGACCAATAAGAGCTACAAATCACAAAGAGCATTCAATTTTACATAAAAAAGGTACTCTTATTTAAATTGTCTATGTGGAAATAGTTCAATAAAACTCACCACGGTTCATAAAAAAGCTTACTTATTTACTCTTTAAAACACAATAAAGTAACTTTATATACAGGGTGTCCCGCAACGATTGTACAAAACTGCATCAGCGTATTCTATGATCAAAAATAAACAAAAAAAGCCTAATAAACATAGGTCCGAAAATGGGCCATTTTCGAGATATTCAAAGATTTAGTTTCATAAGTTGATATTGTTAACATCATGAATTTAAATTTGTTTTTATAATAATTAAGTCGTTACTATGATTACGATAAGTTGTCTAATCAAAAAAAAATAATAATACTTCACGAAATTATTATTTTACTATTTAATTTAATAAAACTATTAAGTATGGCTCCTATTAATTACTCCAAGGAAGAGATGGCGGATATGGTGTATTGTTACGGACTAGCTGATGGAAATGCGTCGTTAGCAGCTCGTCATTACGCGCAAAGGTTCCCGAACAGACGATTGCCTAATAGTCACACCTTTAGCAGACTATTTCTCAGATTAAAAGAAACGGGAAGCGTAACCCACAGCCATTCCACGGAGAGACATTACACAAGGCCGGTGGAATTAGAAGAAGCAGTTTTGAGAAGAGTCGATGAAAATGCCTCAACCAGCATTAGAAGAATTTCTGCACAAGAAAACATTAACAAAACAACCGTTCACCGCATTTTAAGGGAGCAGTTGCTTTATCCTTATCATTACAACACCGTTCAAGCTCTAACAGAAAATGATGGCGAAAAAAGAGAGATTTTTTGTAGGTGGGCCATACAGGAAGAGGTAGTAAACGTCGACTTTCCCATAAACATTGTATTTACGGATGAAGCAACATTTACTCAAAGCGGAATTTTTAATATTCATAATGCGCACGTTTGGAGCGATGAAAATCCCCATGCAATACTAGAAACTCATCATCAGTGGCGATTCAGTGTTAATGTATGGGCTGGAGTTATAGGTGATCAGTTATTAGGTCCATTTTTTCTTCCAAAGAGATTGACAGCCGATGCCTACATACATTTTTTACAAAATGACCTTACAGAGGCATTTGATGAATTACCTCAACAAATTCTAGAAGATTGCTACTTTATGCACGATGGAGCACCAGCACATTATGCACGCGCTACTCGAGCATACTTAAATAACAGATTTGGCAATAAGTGGATTGGCCGAGGAGGGCCACCTCGTTCACCAGATTTAAATCCGTTAGATTTTTGGTTTTGGGGACATTTAAAACAAATTGTTTATTCTGAAGACGTTCAAAATGTGCAGGATTTGAAGAATAAAATTAGTAACGCATTTGACACAGTAAAACAAATTCCTGGTATCTTTGAACGCATTAGAAGTTCATTTAGAAAACGTATCCGTTTGTGTTTAGAAGTAAATGGTGCGCATATTGAACATTTATTATGACATGAATCTTTTCCAATTTGTTAAATATTCGTTGTTTTTATGCTGGTTGAACGATTTTCTTCGACAATCTTTGTTACTTGTTTTGTTAAATTATTAATGAACTGTATTAATTAACTTAATATTATCTTATTATTTATTAAACTTTATCTTAACCATCGTAACCATGGTAATCATATAATTACTGCATCTAAATCGTTAGAATTAATGATGTTTACAATAGGTCAGCTTATGAAACTAAAACTTTGAATATCTCGACTTTTCTTGTCTGTTTTCGATCAGGGAATACGCTGATGCAGTATTGTACAATCGTTGCTGGACACCCTGTAGAAACAACAGAACATAAAACATATAACATATACACCTCGCTGGTTCGAGTCGTACTGGTTATCGGTTGTCGCTGCGCCGATATGTTCCACGCAACCAGGGATTCCCCTAGCTTCGTTTAATTCATTCTAAACTTTTCCACAGTCTAAGTCTATCGGTTTTCGAATTATTTACTTTTAAATGTTTAAATGTATTTTTTCTTCTAAAATTTTTATTTTTTAACATAAGCAAAGTTTTCTTATTTTTCCGATCATGTTTCGACAATTGCTTGTTAATTGTCAACATTGATCTAATTTCCGTGTGCAATAATCATTTTTACCAACAATAAAGTTATTACCAATTTGAAAATGCCACTACATAATGAGTTTTCTAATAGTGAGAAATCCAGATTTAAATCGACTGAATTTTTGAATATGGTCACAATATTCTATTGTTATTAATTAACTGTTATTATTATCTATTATTATCGTTACTAATTGCTATAGTTACTGTGTGTTATTAATTTTAAATGTTAACATTAAAATTACTTTGAAACAATTAAAAGCAGATAACTTGGAAACCAGTAGACTTAGGCTCGTTACTACCATATTCTGGTTAAGCTATCTAAGGGATTATTACCACGGTTACGGCTATTTTATGCGCGCTGATTGGCTAGTAGATGAGACTATCTATAAGATAAATTTAACAAAAAGATGGTAGTAATGGACCTTAGGGTCGGTTACCACCTCCCGATAAACTATCTAGTGGATTATTACCATGGTTATAGCGGTTTAAGCGCTCTCATTGGCTAAGGGTCGGTTTATCAATGTCGAGTTAAATCTGTTAGATACGCAACTCATGGATAAACCTGTCTAACAGATAACCTCAGTGACGCGTTTATCCAGCAACTTTCTACTCGACAGGCAGCAAACAACAAGATAGAAAACAGATGGTACCCCTGAGTGTTAACATTAGAAACGGAAATAAAACATGATTGGTCAAATTTGAATAATTGACTTTAGTTTGTGAAGTTGATTTGTGAGTTGTCATTCCCGTGTGCTTTGTTTTCGAAAACCTCTTTCATGGAATTCTTACATGAGTATTTATTAGAAAGCGATGAAGATGAGGATATTGTCCAACTACGTATGCCTACTGGTGACCAAATAGAGAAATCACAAGAACAATTTTATGGAAAAGCTAGATTTCCACGGGTGATAGGCAGTATCGACTGTACTCATATTAGCATTATTTCGCCAGGTAAGCAATCTCTTTTAATCGAAACATATGAATTAATATTAATGAGTGGATAATAATTATAGGTGGACCACGTGCAGAGACATTCCGGAATCGAAAGGGCTTTTTTTCATTGAATGTTCAAACTGTGTCCTCGGTGGATTTAAAAATTTTGGATATTGTTGCTTGTTGGCCAGGATCGGCCCATGATCAACACATTTTTGATAATTCATTATTAAAGCAAAGGTTTGAAAATAATGAGTTTGGTAATGCTTTGCTAGTGGGTGACAGCGGATATCGTAATACCAAATATTTGGTAACACCTTTGCTGAATACCCGAAATAGAGTAGAAGAACTATATAATGAATCTTTAATAAGAACTAGAAATCCAGTGGAACGGCAATATGGCGTGTGGAAGAGAAGATTTCCTGTACTTGCACTCAAGCTCCGATTGAAACTAGAAACTGCAATGACAGTAATTGTTGCTACAGCAGTGCTACATAACATAGCAATAAATGCAAAGGAAGAAATACCTCCATATGATCTTGGAATAAATGTAAATACTGTCGAGGTAGATAACCTTGATATAGAAGATGGTGAATTACTAGGAAATGCTAGAAATCAACTTTTAGCGAATTATTTCCCTAACCTCTTAAATTAAAATTTATAACATAATAATCAATTTTATTTAGATATTATTTGAATTCGTAATTAAATTCGTATAATTTAAAGAATTCGTATAAATATGGATTGTTGTTTATTATCAAATACGTTGTCTATAAATAGTTGAATTTAATTAAAAAATACTATACTTAAATATCACTTATAAGTTATAACAATATAACAAATTATAAAAGAAATCCAATCGCGATCTAATCCCCAGATTGATATTGTGGAAATTTCAATTTTGCTATTTCCAATTCCATTTGAAGTGTACGTAATTTTACGGCTTCTTGTTCTTTTTGTATGCCAAGTATTTCCATCTTTACTTTATGCTCTTCTTCTGCCCAAATATTCTGCTTACTGAACTGTTCTGTGAGTGCTGTTAATAAACTTTCCTTTCTTTCTACCAAGTTTTCAAATTGCGTTGATACAGATTTGTTACAACTTTTTTTAATAACAGGTCTCCTACGGCTCGACCATTCTATAAAAGTAAGTATAATAAGCATCAAGTAACACCGTAGTGCATACCGTGCATATCTCTGCATAATCAGACTTACTTCTCAACTCATTTTCATTTTGACATTGTTTTTGCGTAATAACTTCCGAAGGAATTACTTCTATGATTGGGGTAATCTCTACTTCTGATATAGTGTTTGGAGGAATATTTTGTGTTTCCAAAGAAGAAGAAGTGTTATCCTGGAAATTACTTTGAAGTTGTAATGCCGGATGTTTTTCGGTTTGTAGCATTGCAACTTCAAATTCATTCCAGTAGCACATAACATCTTCCTCTGTGACGTCCTTTGTTACATTTGTATCGATATTATTAACGTCCATACCATTCATTACTAACAAATGAATTTTAAAAAAATACCACCTAATTTAAAAGAAAAGGCATTTGCCTTTTTCATAAATCCTGTTACAGACAACAAAATTGTATCTGTAAGTTCTTTTTCACTTTCGGTGGATGGAACTGGTTCTTTCATTGTATCCAAATTATCCAAATGTCACATTTATCTAAAAGATAACCCTAAACTACGGGTGGATAAACGATTCGTCGGCGTTATCTATTAGATACAATTTTAACCGACAGATAAATCGACTTAACTAGATATTGATAAACCGGCCCTAATAAGTGCGCCAATTTATCTATGGGATAAACTTATCGGGAGGTGGTACAACCGGCCCTTAGACAATGTAAGCAACACCACCTTTTTTGTGTAGAATTGAAAGCTCCTTCAGATTTCCGGTTCTAATTCACCATACCTCAACTAACAAAGAGTCATGACTTGATATCGATATCTCTAACGTGAAGTACCGTATTTTCTCGTATCTTATCCGCACTCGAATCTAATCCGCACCCCGATTTTAAAAATGCATAGTGGTAAAAAAATTTAGTTTGCGAATGTAATCCGCATCTTTCTTTGAGCAATTCGACAACACCAAAACGATGCGATGCTTGTTGTTAACCGTAAATATATATTTTTTCTGTTGACTGACGCTGATGTACCTAAAGAAACCTTGCTTACGACGAGTTTTTATTAGACTAGACTTTAAATTTACCAAGCCAGAAAAAATTGGAAAATAAATATAATTTTAAAAATAAATAGTAATGCCTAGCATGAATTCCATTTATATACTGTCCTCGTAGTAGCTTGAACGTGGTGTGTGCTTAATTATTAGTGATGGGCATAATCGAATGACCATAATCGATTAACCGATTATACACGATCATTCGAGATATCGATTATTCTAAAAAATAATAGATTGTAAAATAATCGAATGAAATAGTCGATTATAATAAAATAATCGAATGAAATAATCGAATAAAATAATCGATTATTTTTCCATTCGATTATTTTTTCATTCGATGTTGAAAGTTAAAATAAAATTCTATATAAAATATTGACTGGCATGCTACTTCAGGGCTGTTTTGGGAATTTACCAACTTCTCTGAATGTCTCATTTTAATATTTAAATTAAATAGAGCCTCAAATGATTAGTCGAATTCACGTTTTATGTTTGTATTCATTGCTAGTTGTTTAATATGAAGTAAAAAAAGAATGATTATTTGATTCCCCATGATAATATGGAGGATGGTCAGTCAAAATACATATTTCAAAGAAAATATTTATTGCACTACATATTACTATTTAAAAACATGATTTCGTTGATCATATTGCTGCTTAACCTACTCCTTCTTTCTCGAGCAATTGCTGTAGATCTGCATGTTTGAGGGCGTCCATGGTACATAGGTTCAGCGTATGTGCTATGTAGGGTTGGTGAGTCTTATTGAGATGAACAGTGATGATCATATTTGAAGCGTTATCTGTTACAATACAGTGAACTTTTTCAAAGATATCCCAACTTTCAAAATTGGTTTGTTTCCAGTAGGTAACTGTTCAATTGGTTTCCGTTTATATAATTTGTTGTAATTTTTTTTCGACTTGGTATACAAACACTGGACCTGGTTGCAAAACAACATAACAATACTGCCGAGCAGTTTGTGCTCGAATGAACGACGAACGTAGTTCGTGTGGGGATCTGCACGTGTATATACATTGAGTTTCAAAGAATTAGGTAAATCCCCGAAACAGCCCTCTGAAGTACTAATACCGTAAATATTTTAGATAGAATTTTATTTCAACTTTCATCATCGAATGAAAAGATAATCGAGTGAAAAAATAATCGAATGGAAAAACAATCGATGATGTTATAATCGACTATTTTATTCGATTATTTTATAATTGATTATTTTATTCGATTGTAAAATAATCGATTAATAATCAAATAATCGATTAATAATCGATATATGAATAATCGATTAATAATCGATTATTCATATATCTCGATTATGCCCATCACTATTAATTATACATATAATAGTAATGTATTATAAAACGTAATTATAAAAAAAAAGTTGCAAAAATCTAAAAGGTTCTTCTATACAGCAAAGTTTAAAGAGATGTTATTAAGTTAGCGTTAAGGAAATCGAAAAGCTGGTACAATTTTTGCTGTTAATGAGAGTAACGTTGCGGCTGTTGCGGAAAGACAAGGTAGCTATTGCAGACTGTGAGGCATCGTGCAAAAAATTTACCGGGCCAAAGAAGAGACGATTTCATGAAATTGACGAGGCAGTTTTCTAGTTCTCTCAAGAAAAACGAAAGGAGGGACTAAAAAATTTTTAATACTAGCTAAGGTTGGACTGTGGGATTTATGCGCCGAATGGTGTTATCGTTGAGGCGCAGAACTACAATTTCCCAAAAGCTCCTAATGATTTTCAAGAAAATTTCAATTTGTCTCAAACTGTAAATGTCAACGAAATGGTAGTATATCTGGATATGCCACCCAATTACACACTGGAAAGCAGAGGTGTGTGGGAAATTTCTTTATAAACGTGTGGTTGCGAAAAATTGCGCATAACATTGATGCTAGCAGTAACAAGTGATAGGGAAAAATTGCTGTCATTAGTAATATTGAGAAAAAAACCATTCTGAAATCTGAAAGACTTCCCGAATGACGTCCTAGTTAGGACACAACAAAAAGGATGGATAATGAAAAAGCTAATGATGGAATGATTAAGACAAGTATGGAGTCTTAGAACAGGAAGATTATCAAATAAGGATATGAATTAATCATAGACTGATTGCCCTTGGTTTAGACTTCTTGTCATAATAATAATAACATAACCTGGTGGAATAACATCCATATTACAACCTGTGTATGTATATGTATATTAACAAACTCGAGAATTAACAAAACCGGGAGCAATTAAAGGAGCTTCTGAACTTGCTCAGTGAGTGTAGGCGACATGGAAAACGATCCTTGAAAACAATATTATAACATCATTTAAGAAGTCTTGTATAATGCGAATTAATCCGTATTGATCCGAAGATGACGTAATATGGGAAGAAAATGATACAAAAAAATGTAAATATCGTTCTAAAACCCTTAATAAAGTATTATTGTTATAATGTGATTTTATTTTACTATTTTCCAAATTGCAACTATACGACTGCGAATCTAATCCGCACCCGATTGTAATCTGCATTTGATTTTAGAGCTCATAAAATTTGTAAAAAAGGTGCGGATTACATTCGAGAAAATACGGTATGTATCTAGCGCCCTCTACGAGTAAGCACAAAACAAATTTCAAATTCGTATTTCTCATGCTCGAAAACATAAAACTACCTTAAAAATTATCAAGAAATTTCGAAATAAGAATTTAACTTTCAACACCCTCGAAAACCACCGACATTTGTATAAGAGATGTTAGGTTAAATCGTCATATTTTGGTATTTAGTGTCTACGGTATTCGGATTTCGCATTCTTTCTGACTGACCCTGTATATTACCTTTTACAAAATCGTTTTGAGGATCGTTAGATAACTCCATTAGATTTTTTGTTTGGGGTCGTATAAAAGATATCGTGTATCCTACACCGATTACAACAAAGGAAGAATGGCAAGAAAGAGTTCGTGATGCATTTCGATCTCTTTCTTCGGAACAAATTCGCAGTGCCACTCATGCCAGGTTTTTAAAAAGAATTCATAAATGTTTGGAACTTGAGGGAACCAGTACGAACATTTACTATAGTTATATAAATTTTTCATTCTCGTTTTTTATTTTTCATTTATATTGTTAAATATAGTACCTTCATTTCTCTTCTACTGTTATAAGTTTTATTCTATTATGAGAGTTACAAAATGTGTGGCCGGCCTCACCCATGGGCTGTATCTTCGAAAGTAGCAAACTCCTTCGTTTTAATGTTAATCACAAAGTCTAATTACATTCTAGCGTACAATAGCTTTTGTTTCATATCACTTCCCTCAAACCAACTATAACTTTAAATTTACTAATATTCCAGAAAATTTCATTTCTTTCAAGTTTCTACGAAAACCATACATTTTAGATATAGGGATGTAATGACAATGTTCCTTTACTTTTCGGCGTACAATACGCTGGTGAAGGAAAAAATTGGGATTGCCATTTAAAAAAATGA